GTGTGTGTGTGTGTGTGTGTGTGTACCCAACAGGACAGATGGCCTGGAAGCCGATGGGGAGGAAGGATTGGGGCAAGGGCGACAGGCTGTCCACACCCTCACCTACACCTTTCTGTGTAACACCGCCAGCACCGAAGCCAGCCTGCAAAGGGCCCGGCTGGTTCTGTCAGCCCAGCACACAGAACCGCTTCTTTCCCTGACAAAGCTCAGCTCCTCTGGGACCGTCCTTCACCCACCCACACAGTCTCAGTGGGTGTCCTTCTCTCCTGGGCACGACCTGACCCATGTGAAGCCCATTTCCCTGAGGGCAGAGGCAGTGGCACCTGGAAGCATTTGGATCCATCCCTCCTGATGGTGGTGCCGGAGGGGGCTGCCCCTGCATCTGGCACCTTTACCCCAGGCCATAGCCTCCTCCCCCGTGAGGGCTGGCTGCCCGCTCTTTCCGGAGATGCCACGTACCAACTCCAAACGCAAGCATTTTGCTTCAGCTAAGCAGAGCTGGTTTCTATGATGTCAAAGTGGGAAGTCGAGCTGCACCCAGCACTAGGACTTAGATGCATACAGCCCAATACAGCCAGTGTACAATGGAGTACTGCACAGCCCGGCACAGGGGGGGATAACACACACGTGTTGGCAGAGAAAGATGTTCACGATGGACGACGGTGCGGGGCAGTGCACTACCGAGTGGGGCTCTTCCAGCAATGGCCTTTGCACCCCCCAGCGCGTGACCTTTCCCAGCGGCAGTGAGGGAGGACGCCAATGGATTAGATGACTCCGGTGAGTGATTGGTGGCGGGGATCACTGTGATTGTGAACATTTAGGGCTCTGACCGTAGGCATCGTTCTGTGTGGCCATCCTGCCGGGCATAAAGTGAGCGCCAGCTCAGCTGTGGGAAGGGAGGTAGCTCATTGCCATCAAGAAAGGGTGTGACCACGTGTCCTCTGGACCCCATGCAATGAACCTGTTGGGAGCGGCACTTCCTGGGAAGCTGGCTTTGCAGCCACCAGCGGGAGCTGAGCACCTCCAGGCTCAGGCTGTCAGCAGCGTGAGGAGTGTGGTAACACTGCCTGCGTGGGCAGAGGCCCCAAAGCAGAGAGGCCTGCCTGTGGGCATGACTGGGCAAAGGCTGTCATGGCTGAAAAACTGTCCCGAGTAGTTCTGATCCTGACTTGTAACCTCTTTGTTTCCC